AAACATGATAGAGAGGAGACCTGAGGTTGTTTCAAACTGTTTTGCTGTTAATCATTATCGGTGTTATTTCATGCATTAGAAAGCCCATTGCTATGTAGAGATTACCAAAACCTCCTACCAAGGACAGATAGAAAGGAAGCCTTGATGACGTGTGTGGGGAGGTCTATAATGACCACATTTTGCAATCTGGAGACCTTGTGCTCATATCCAAGATGTGTTCCAGAATAGCTCGTTATTTACTCCTTGCATTTATCATGCTTCATTTTTAGGATCCCTCTTGGTTTTTGGTGAAACCGGAATAAAGCACTCCTATTTTAGAACTTTATCAGGACTGATTTACCTCTCTTTTATTCACCTCAGTTTAATCCAAATGAACTTCCTTTTCTCGGCAAACTGGAAGCACAGTACTGTGTTATGTCCCTTTACCTGAGTTTCAGTGAGAGCAAACCAGGTTACCGTGCCAGACTGTGCACATTATCCTTGCTGGGAGGGCAGTAACACAGGTTACTCTCTGCAGCTCAAGACTGTTTTGCACAAGACATGCAAATACGTCATGGTCGTGAGCATAAGTGATTTTGTCAATTAAGGAGGGCAGGTGGCAGTTCTGCTTATCTGGGTGTCCAGCTATTTGTGCCCTGTCCAATGTGTATGTTCTGTAGCACTCATCCACATGTATTCTGACATATATATCAGTCTTTTTTAGCCCTTTCTGATTTGCAGGCCCCTAAATATTTTTGAGGAAGGTTTTTCTAGGAAAGAAAGTTAAGTCTCTTGAATAAAACCTTACTTTGCTTAGGTGTTTTCCACAAACTTCGATGTACAAACACAGGTACTATATTTGTCTCTTCTGGTGAAGCTCTTCCTAGAGACCTTGAATTTGCCACCCTTATGTTTAATATTTGTATGGTTATCTGAAGTTGGTGAAAAGGGCTTCTGCCTTATAAGATGTTATGTTTCTCAAATACCTCACTTATATTTCTCTCAACACTGGGGAGGTGGATACTGTTCCTTACGCCACCAAAAACATTCCCATTCCCTGAATCTGAACCTGTTGCTTTCACAAATCTTACAGTCCCAATTTCTTGGGATTTCAGTTTTCATTTCTTGCCTAATCACTTTTGTGGAGAACGGGATCACAAACCCAAGAACATCCAGGAAAAGAGGCTGTAGTTATTGTTGTATTTCTTGACTCATGCAGCAGGAGTCTGTGCCGTGAGAATGATCACTGTTTCTGATGGTTCTTACAGATAAGGTGCCTGAACCTTGCATTTAGCCAGGAAGAGGTAATAGGACCCAAGAAGAAAAGGAAGGTCAGTGAACCAGAGAAGCTGCTTCTGGGAGGCAGGAAGTGATGTTCGTTCTGACATACATTTTAGAAGGTGTGAGTTCTTACTGTCATCTCACTAGCAAAGACCTTTACTCTGTTCTCATGTTTAACTCTCCACGTTCCACGTATGTTTGTGCCTAATTGTCTAGTGTGAACTTTCGGTTGCAAGGAGACAGCAAGCAATGGTAACGGTCGGGACAATGTAGATCAACAGTGTTTGTTTGTTGTTCTAAAGCTGAGGGTTGATGATTCCATATGAAAGGTGTCTGCGTGCTTCTTTCTCACACACACACACTAACACACACCCCGCTGGCTCAATGTGCTCCTCTGTGGCTGGACAGTCCCTCGCCAATGTCATCAATATTAATAGCAGCATTTCAAGATAAACTCTGAGGTATCAATGCCTACAAACAACCAGTCTCATGATTCATTAGACAGTGCTTAACTTCATCCTATCTACTATTTCCGGAGCATAGATTTTTTTTTTTTCAAAAAACAGGTTTTTATCTTTATTGAACACAGAGATAAAATAATCTATACACAAGTTGTGCTGTTGCTGAATGTTTTTTTTTTCTGACTTCGCAAATAGTGTTGCTATGACTGTATTATCAGCTTATTTCTAAAGCAGCAACCCACCACATATTAAGGGGCTTAGACAGTTACATGATATAAATTGTGTTGAAATACAGCATTTTAAAACTTAACTTTAATACAGGTGCCCTATAACTGCACATGCAGGTAAGGACATTCACAGCAATAAAATAAGGGATACAGATATACATTGGAAGAAGAGCACTGTGTGTTTTGTGTCATGGAGATTGCCTGGCACTCTGTCAAGACCTAAGGGATATTACTGGAGTGAGAGGAGCAAAATGGCCTTAACTTATCTTACACATTTTTTACAAGTTGTTCAGGGAACAGCAGTTCCATTACTTTACACACATCGAAAAAAAGAAATATGAAATTGCAAAGAAAGTAATGAAATGCACCCTCTTCCCAATAGCTTTGATTGTCTAAAGCATTCAGATCCTACAGTGACAGGGGTGTACAAGTGCTAGAATTCAGCAGTTATTTGCCCCAAAAATGTAGCCGATCTGAAACAATCAGGGGCATTGCAACAGAGATGCAAGGGGTTTCTTCAGTGGTGCGTGTCAGAGAGCTGCAGAGAAGGCAGCGAGGATCACTCACTCACTGAGTATCTGGCCCCTACATGTCCTTGAAGATCCTTGGCCCCCACTGCCGTCACTGGACATACCAGGTACCCTGTTAATGTGAACACGATGGTCTCTTCTCCTGCGATGGTCCCCAGCACTTGGGAACCTCTTCACTGTTGTAACTGTGAAGCTTTGCTTGGCTGGATAAAAGCCCCTGGAGGTGTGGATTGGCCTTACTTCACTAGCTGACCTCAGTTTAAACCCAGCTGCTGATTTCTTGCCTTTCTTGTGCTTTCTGCTTTTTGTTTCCTTTCTTGTGCTTTTGCTGTAGTTGGCCATCAAAGAAAGAATCAGAAACCAGAGTAGAACTGGCTTACTGGTAAGAAATAACTCTGCAGAGTCGAAAAATCCTAAATGATCAATTGATTTTTGCAACTGGCTGAGTTACTTATTGCAATTTAAAAAGACAGTACCACAGCCGGGCTTACTTGGCTCAAGGCAGACAGACCACTGACTGTCCCTGAGCCTGCAGCAGCGTCTGGCAGGTTTTGTGGCTTGATGCCTATTTCACAAAACAGGTAGAACATGAGAATTGTCCATTTTATCCTCGCTTTCAGTCCTGTGTTCTCATTTTTGCACCTGTGGCCTAATAAGCCAGTTTGTTCACATGCCAGAGCAAACCAGACTTCTTCGCTCTGCCCGGATTTTGTAACCATGTGTGCTCTCCTGCCTGCACACCTACCGGAGGCTGCGCTCGTCACAGGGCAGCAGCAGCTCGGGACCTGCCCTGACCTAAAAGCATGGCCCTGATGTGGCCAGAGCGTTTCACCCCCTTGTTTCTCCAGCCCAGTGCCTCCTGCCTGCCCCCAAAGGCTTAACTTAGTGTTGGGTCACGCAGGAGAAAGGTGAATGAGGCTGGGACCGGAGCTGCACGAGCAGCTTCGCACCTTAACGCGCTTGGTGCGCGGTGGAAGGCGCCAAGTGCCCCACAATGAAAGTGAAGCCAGCCCTGGTGTCACCGCAGAGTCAGAGCGCGCACAGCCACCACGAAGCACCTCCACAGCACGGCCAACGGCAGCGTGTCTTGGGCTTGTACCCACGGCCAGAGACTCACCGTCTCAGTTCGCATTGGCTTCTAATCAGCTGTTTTACGGTAATGGCTTTTAGTCATTTTCATTTCAGGCTCGGTTAGAAATAAAGTAACTTGTGATGAACTGCCACAGTAAGCGTCTGATTTTTCTTTCCCACAAGCTTGTGGTTACCATCAGATTCTAAGAAAAGCCTTTCCACTGCAGATTGGAATCATCTAAGCCACTTACACATATCCTTTTATTTATTAGCAATTCTGCTTGGCTAGCTAAAGGTAAAAAAACCTTTTTCTAGTGTTTCGGTCACATTTCTAGTTAATACTCATTAACTGACTTAATGTATGTTACACATCGTCAACCTGATTCACTCCTGACATAAAACAGAAGCAATTCGTTAGTAACGGTCCCTTGGCAATTAGGGAACTAAATTACGTTTGAACAATTTTCTTCAAAGATTCTCCTCCTCCCCCCCGTGCATCATTCGGCAAGTCCCTTGAATACTTACAGTAATTATGTGCGTGCAGTGAAAGGAGACTGTTACCTCTCAAACCAAAATAAATGAATATGTGATCTTTGTGCTAATACAACAGTGAGTAATACAAAGAATCACAGACATCCTCCCTTTGATCTGGCAAAGATAGGAGCAGTAATTAAGATTGCAAGCGATTTTTAAAAACCAGAATATTGGGAAGCGGCTGGGAGGGGAAAGTGAAGCTTTTGCAGGGTTTTCAGAAAATCAGTGGACAGGAGGAACCCTTGCGCCTTTCTCACAACCACAGACTTTTAAATTGAGACAACGTGGGTATCCTTACACCTGCCGAGCCGCATGTAGGTTGGTGGCGCTTCCAAAAATCGTGCTTTACTTCTGGGATAGCGTTTAACAAGAACAGTAGTACCTGTGTTTCAAACTGAAAGTCAAGCCGAAGTCAAACGGAAAATGTTTACCATTGTCTCAACCACATCCTTAAATATAATGTCCTCAACAAGAAAATAACCCCAACTTCCTAGTGCTGCACAGTAATCTTGTGGACAGGTGTCAATACTCAGTTTTCACCTGAAAAACGATAATTCTTTAGGGGTTTCCACTGCTACGTGTGGTCTAGGAAGTCATCTCGCCCTATTGTCACTACTTTCAGTTTTGTAAGGGAGGCAGAAAGAAGAAACAAAACACCTGAGGAGGATAAGTATGAATTCTTCTGTACTTGAAACCAATGAGTTAAGAGTTTTGTCACTGGTTTCAGTGGAAAATGGAGAGACCTCCTGTCTGGAGTGGTAATGCAAAAATCATTTTGCTTTACTGTCCATGTAGGCTATCGTTTCTGGATACACCTTTGCTGTGAAAGTGATTAGAAGTTAATTAGTGCTTTTCATCAGTGTAGTGTTTTATCTGAAGAACCATCCCTTGGGATTACCACCTTGGGCTTTTGTCTGGTGAAGTAATTTTTGAAGGCTCTCTGGTTTCCCTTGTTAGTCAGCAGGTGAAGTATGAGGTTGTGGCCTGCTGCAGTTGCGTGGCCGCATTTGTCATGCCACGAGCTGGCCATTCTGGGGGGCCAAGAGCTTTGTACATCAAGCATAAAGTCACCCCGATGGCATCCCACCCACACGTGTAGGTGGGCTAAGTCGTCTCTGCTAATGGCTGAGTAAAATTTCATTAGGCTCTTCTTGTCATCACAGGGTAAAGAAGAGGGGATTTGCATCTGAGTTGGCACGTTTTCCATAGGTGGTTTCCAGAACTAATTTAGGTCAAATGGGCCTGTATATCTTTCCTTTAAACTGAGACTTAGATTCCAAAGTCTCGTAGGAGTTTTCCATAGGAAGCACCACCCTGGGTATCTGTGTGCCAGACATACTTGTATGGTATTTCCCTGAACCTCAATAACGTACTGTTCTTGTTCAGAATCAATTGGTCATCTGGTGACATTTTCTGAATACCTTGCTATGAAATTTGTCATTCAAATGCTAGAAAAAAAAAATAGTTCTTAAGACACCGACTGTAAAATTTCCATAGATTTGACACAATCTCTGTGGATCCCGTGGTCCAGCCATAGCAGGATTAATACAACTGTCCCCGCTTAATTTGCACGGCTTGTTTTGGAAGGGCTGATAACTCCCTGTGCATGTGTACTAAGCATTCTCCTGTCTCATTAACTAATGGATTTAGCCCTGCACTTAATAGGTTTTTAAGGAGGGGATCTTGTTACTGCGAGGACATTACCCTTAAACATATAGCAGGTAGGTTTAAGGACCGTTACTGCTATTTAGAAGAAAGCACTTGAGACCTGCCCCGGACTCGGGGAAAACGTGTGTCTGCGGGAAAAGGTAGTGGTAGGCAGAAATAAGGTAACGGTTTTCTTTATAGAGATTTCATGGTATATTCTGTGATATTACTTGTATTTCTTTACAGGACGTGCAGCAAGGGGATGTTTATTCTGATGAAAGTCTAAGCTTGATAACAGGAAACCCAAGTCCTTTGTGCAGCAAATGACCTTGAATCACACACAGACCTTTTTTTCAGTAACAGAGGGTAGGACTGTCTAAAACACAGGAAAATGATGTCCCTAGAACACAGCGTGGCATTTTCAGTTGGCTACAGTCTATCCAAGCCTTTGCCAGCCTCCAAACCGTGAATGTCATCCAGAGCAGGTGGTACAGATGTAAACATGGTTTGGGGAATTGTCAGGAGAATAAGGAGGACAGTTGCTTTTTGTCCCCCTTTCCTTCAAAGTTAAGTCAAAAGAGTAAATGGAAACTGCATGCCCCGGTGGGTAAGGCACAGTACT